AGGCAGGAGCATCACTTGAATCCGGGAGGTAGAGTTTGCAGTGAGCCCAGATTGTGCCACTGCACTCCAGCCTGGGTAACAGAGCAAGACTCTGTCTCAAAAAAAAAAAAAAAAAAGTTATTTTAAACCAATGAGACACAAACACACAACGTACCAGAATCTCTGGGACACAGCTAAAGTGGTGTTTAGAGGGAAATTTATAGCACTAAATGCCCATAGGAGAAAGCAGGAAAGATCTAAAATCGACACCCTAACACCATAATTAAAAGAACTAGAGAAGCAAGAGCAAACAAATTCAAAAGTTAGCAGAAGACAAGAAATAACTAAGATTAGAGCAGAACTGAAGGAGATAGAGACACAAAAAACCCTTCAAAAAATTAATCAATCCAGGAGTTGGTTCTTTGAAAAGATTAACAAAATAGACCGCTATCTAGATTAATAATGAAGAAAAGAGAAAATAATCAAATAGACACAATAAAAAATAATAAAGAGAATATCACCACTGATCCCACAGAAATACAAACTACCATCAGAGAATACTATACACACCTGTATGCAAATAAACTAGAAAATCTAGAAGAAATGGATAAATTCCTGGACACATATACCCTCCCAAGACTAAACCAGGAAGAAGTTGAATCCCTGAATAGACCAATAACAAGTTCTGAAATTGAGGCAGTAATTAAAAGCCTACCAATCAAAAAAAGCCCACCAATCAAAAAAAGCCCAGGACCAGACGGATTTAAAGTCAAATTCTACAAGGGGTACAAAGAGGAGATGGTACCATTCCTTCTGAAACTACTCCAAACAATAGAAAAAGAAGGATTCCTCCCTAACTCATTTTATGAAGCCAGCATCATCCTAATACCAAAAATCTGGCAGAGACACAACAAAAAAAGAAAACTTCAGGCCAATATCCCTGATGAACATCGATGTGAAAATCCTCAATAAAATACTGAATCTAGCAGCACATCAAAAAGTTTATCCACCATGATCAAGTCGGCTTCATCCCTGGGATGCAAGGCTGGTTCAACATACGTAAATCAATAAACATAATCTATCACATAAACAGAACCAACGACCAAAAACACATGATTATCTCAATAGATGCAGAAAAGGCCTTCAATAAAATTCAACACTCCTTCATGCTAAAAACTCTCAATAAACTAGGTACTGATGGAATGTATCTCAAAATAACAGCTATTTATGACAAACCCACAGCCAATATAATACTGAATGGGAAAAAAACTGGAAGCATTCCTTTGAAAACCGGCACAAGATAAGGATGCCCTCTCTCACCACTCCTATTCAACACAGTATTGGAAGTTCTGGCCAGGGAAATCAGGCAAGAGAAAGAAATAAGGGGTATTCGAATAGGAAGAGAGGAAGTCAAATGGTTTCTGTTTGCAGATGACATGACGGTATATTTAGAAAACCTCATCGTCTCAGCCCAAAATCTCCTTAAGCTGATCAGCAACTTCAGCAAAGTCTCAGGATACAAAATCAATGTGCAAAAATCACAAGCGTTCCTACACACCAATAATAGAAAAACAGAGAGCCACATCATGAGTGAACTCCCATTCACAATTGCTACAAAGAGAATACCTAGGAATCCAACTTACAAGGGATGTGACGGACCTCTTCAAGGAGAACTGCAAACCACTTCTCAATGTTAAGAGAGGACAAAAACAAATTGAAAAACGTTCCATGCTCATGGATACAAAGAATCAGTATCGTGAAAATGACCATACTGCCCAGAGTAATTTACAGATTCAATGCTATCCCCATCAAGCTACCATTGACCTTCTTCACAGAATTAGAAAAAACTACTTCAAATTTCATATGGAACCAAAAAAGAGCCTGTATAGGCAAGATAATCCTAAGCAAAAAGAACAAAGCTGGAGGCGTCATGCTACCTGACTTCAAACTATACTACAAGGCTACAGTAACCAAAACAGCATGGTACCAGTACCAAAACAGATATATAGACCCATGGAACAGAACAGAGGTCTCAGAAATAGCACCACACATCTACAACCATTTGATCTTTGACAAACCTGACAAAAACAAGAAATGGGGAAAGGATTCCCTATTTAATAAATGATGTTGTGAATACTGGCTAGCCATATGCAGAAAACAGAAACTGGATCCCTTCCTTACAACTTATACAAAAATTAACTCAAAATGGATTAAAGACTTAAATGTAAGACCTAAAACCATAAAAACTCTAGAAGAAAACCTAGGCAATACCATTCAGGACATAGGCATGGACAAAGACTTCATGACTAAACACCAAAAACAATGGCAACAATAGCCAAAATTGACAAATGGGATCTAATTAAACTAAAGAGCTTCTGCACAGCAAAAGAAACCATCATCAGAGTGAACAGGCAACCTACAGAATGGGAGAAAATTTTTGCAATCTATCCATCTGACAAAGGGCTAATATCTAGAATTTACAAGGAACTTAAACAAATTTACAAGAAAAAAAACAACCTCATCAAAAAGTGGGCAAAGGATATGAACAGACATTTCTCAAAAGAAGACATTTATGCGGCCAACAAACATATGAAAAAAAGCTCATTATCACTGGTCATTAGAGAACTGCAAATCAAAACCACAATGAGATACCATCTCACAACAGTTGGAATGGCGATCATTAAATAGTCAGGAAACAGATGCTGGAGAGGATGTGGAGAAATAAGAACGCATTTGCACTGTGGGTGGAAGTATAAATTAATTCAACCATTGTGGAAGGCAGTGTGGCGATTCCTCAAGGATCTAGAACCAGAAATACCATTTGACCCAGCAATCCCATTACTGGGTATATACCCAAAGGATTAGAAATCATTCTGTTATAAAGACACATGCACACGTATGTTTATTGCAGCACTGTTCACAATAGCAAAGACTTGGAACCAACCCAAATGCCCATCAATGATACATTGGATAAAGAAAATGTGGCACATATACACCATGGAATACTATGCAGCCATAAAAAAGGATGAGTTCATGTCCTTTGTAGGGACATGGACGAAGCTGGAAACTATAATTTTCAGCAAACTAACACAGGAACAGAAAACCAAACACTGCATGTTCTCACTCATAAGTGGGAGTTGAACAATGAGAACACATGGACACAGGGAAGGAAACATCACACACCGGGGCCTGTGAGGGTGGGGCACTAGGGGAGGGATAACATTAGGAGAAATACCTAATGTAGATGACAGGTTGATGGGTGCAGCAAACACCATGGCACGTGTATACCTATGTAACAAACCTGCATGTTCTGCACATGTATCCCAGAACTTAAAGTATAATTAAAAAAAAAAAAAAGAGAGAAAGAAAAGAAAAACCCATTTTTTGAGGAGAAATTCAAGCTAGCTGCAGAAATTTGCATACGTAACAAGGAGCAAAATGTTAATCCCCAAGACAATGGGGAAAATGTCTCCAGGACATGTCATAGGTCTTCATGGCAGCCCCTCCCATCACAGACCCAGAGGCCTAGGAGGAAAAAATGGTTTCGTGGGCCAGGCCCAGGGTCCCCATGCTGTGTGCAGCCTAGGGACTTGGTGCCCTGCATCCCAGCTGCTCCAGCCATTGCTAAAAGGGGGCAAGGTACAGCTTGGCCCATGATTTCAGAGGGTGCAAGCCCCATATCTTGGCAACTTCCACGTAGTGTTGAGCCTGCGGCTACACAAAATTCAAAAACTGAGGTTTGGGAACCTCCGCCTAGACTTCAGAAGATGTACGGAAACACCTGGATGCCCAGGCAAAAGTCTGCTACAGGGGTGGGGCCCTCATGGAGAACTTCTGCTAGGGCAGTTCAGAAGGGAAATGTGAGGTCAGAGCCCCCACACAGAGTCCCTACTGAGGCACTGCCTAGTGGAGCTGTGAGAAGAGGGACACCGTCCTCCAGACCCCAGAATGGTAGATCCATCAACAGCTTGCACTGTGCACCTCAAAAAGCCACAGATACTCAATGCCAGCCTGTGAAGGCAGCCGGGAAGTGGGCTGTACCCTGCAAAACCATGGGGTGGAGATGCCAAAGACTATGAGAACCTGCCTCTTGCATCAGTGTAACCTGGATGTGAGACATGGAGTCAAAGGAGATCATTTTGGAGCTTTAAAATTTGACTGCCCCACTGGATTTCGGACTTGCATGGGCCCTGTAACTCCTTTGTTTTTGGCCAATTTCTCCCATTTGGAATGGCTGTATTTACCCAATGCCTGTACCCCCACTGTATCTAGAAAGTCACTAGCTTGTTTTTGATTTTACAGGCTCATAGGCAGAAGGGACTTGCCTTGTCTCAGATGAGACTTTGGACTGTGGACTTTTGGGTTAATGGTGAAATGAGTTAAGACTTTGGAGGACTGTTGGGAAGGCATGATTGGTTTTGAAATGTGAGGACATGAGATATGGAGGGGCAAGAGGTGGAATGATAGGGTTTGGCTGTGTCCCCATCCAAATCTCATCTTGAACTGTACTCCCATAATTCCCATGTGTTGTGGGAGGGACCTGGTGGGAGATAATTTGAATCACGGGGCCATTTCCCCCATACTGTTCTCATGATAGTGAATAAGTCTCACAGGATCCTGATGGGTTTATCACGGGTTTCTGCTTTTGCTTGTTCCTCATTTTCTCTTGCCACCACCACGTAAGAAGTACCTTTCACCTCCTGCCATGATTCTGAGGCCTCCCCAGCCATGTGGAACTGTAGGTTCAATTAAACCTCTTTTTCTTCCCAGTTTCAAGTATGTCCTTAGCAGCAGCATGAAAACTGACTAATACAGTTATCATGAGGTTCAAATTATTTACTACTAGAAAAGGTGTTTGCATGCTATGCATTGCCATGGAAATATAAGTGACCCAGTGCCAAGGTGGCCACTCTCATGGAGTCCCGAGAATGACCAACTGAGGGGGAGCCCAAAGGAGTGTTTTGCTGACTCCCCCCACCTCCCACACACAGGGCTGGCAGGTTCTTCCCAAAGCTCCTGACCTTCTCCAGGTTCTTGCGCATATCTTCCAGGGCCTTGATGACTGGTGGGTCTTTGGCCACCTCCTGCACACTGGCCAGCTCATGGCGCCAATGCTGCTGGGCAGCTTTCAGAGCTGTCTGCCGCCTCCGCATGGAGTGTGTCTGCCGCACAAGGAACTCCTTGGCACTACGGAGGGCTACCCCCTCAGTAGAGAGGAGGTGCCAGACATTGTGGGAGGACAGGCTGGAGCAGGAGAGTTGAAAAAGGAAAACAGAAGCCTCTGAGAACTCTGCTGTGGGTCACACAGCCACTTCCCCAGCAGATGCCCACCCTGAGCACAGACCAGAGCTGCTGGGCTGGGGCTGGGCACTGTGAGTGTAGGGATGCCACTGTTCAATACCCACAGTGTGCAGTGCCTGGGACTGACAGTGCCCCCACCCTGACTCTGAGAGGGATCGTGCCTGGGGCCTCCAGATAGATGACCAGACACTTCCAGCAATCTGTTTCTCCGCTAGAGAAGAATGCCATGTCAAAGGTCACAGTGGGCAGTTTCTTGGCTTGCCAGAGAAGATTGCTTAATCCTCCAGAACCTTCCCCACGAACTAAGCCCCACTGGTGATCACTGTCTCCTCACTTCAGCTCACCCAGCTCTACGATGCAGGTACTCACTTACCCCTTCATGGTACCCTAACCTGAAATAAGACAGGCTATGGGAACTCACCCGTTCAAGTATAAGTCCTCCTTGCTCTGAGAGAGAGAAGAAGACACCTCTTTGGTCTGGTTCTAGGGACACATGGTAGAAAAGTCCACTGAGTGTAGCAAAAGCAGATACCCTGCAGGTTCAAGACCCCAAAACTCCTCCCAGTGGTCTAGGCAAGGAGATGGCTCTCCAGCTGCCAGGCACTGTTTACTTATAGGTATCATCTGACTGGTGGAGATGACTGGTAGCTGGGAATAAGAACAGACCAGGCCCCATAGAGAGCAGAACCAGCCCCTCCTGATACCTCAGCCCACCATATACTCCTCCCCTCCTGAGGTTCCACCCCTCCTGATGACCCATCCCCTCTGGAAGTACTCCCCTGATGCCCAGCCCCTCCCAATGCCCCACCCCATCCTGGTACCCCCGCCCTCAGCTCACTGTCCCAAGGGATTTCCTCAGGTCCTCAATATGGAGATCCGGCTCAAAATGTGGGGAAACATTATTTTCCTCAACTGTCACTTCTCTCAACAGGTGCTGCTGCTTTTGAGCTTCAGCCTCCAGGCTGCTGAGCAGGGAAAGGGGAGTGAGAGGCAGGGCGGTGGCAGAGGTGGGGGATGAAGTGGGTCAGAACCATCTCCACCCCCTCACTCCCACCCATCAAAGTCCCTGAGGAACAATAGCACCAGAGATTCCCTGCTTTTCACACCATCTTAACAACCCCAACTCCCTACAAAATGTAGTCACAGGCTCTTCTGCCTAGCTCCCAAGCTGGGACTCCACCTCTCCCTATTAATTGGGCCATGATGCAAGCAGCAGAGGTCAGAGGGCAGAGGGCAGGCAGGAGGCAGTCAGCGGGGCTAGGTGCAGGGTGCCCATGCCACCTGATGTGTTTCTGCAGTTGCTGGCTCTGGGCCTGTAGCAGATCCACTTCGGACTCCAGCTTCAGTTTGCGGGCCTGCAGCTCATCAAGAATTTTCCGGAGCTGCTGGTTTGACTGCAACAGGTGGGTGTGCTCCTTCTGTGCCTCCTCCAGCTGCTGATGGGTGGCTGTGGCTTCCTAGGGGCAGAAGGAAATATAGAAGCACCCAGAGACAGCACAGGGAGACGGCAGGGAGCAGACAGCACTAGAGGGTAGAGAAACCAGAGGAGGATGGGCTGGGGATGAACTCAGAGCCACTGAAGTCACCACCTCCGAGGTCAGGAGGTCTGCAGGCTCCTGTCCCACCACAGCCCCACTCCCTTGAGGTTCCCAAGTGGGGTCCAGAGAGTGGCACTATTTGTGGAATACTGGCCAAGAGAGTTTGGAACCCCAGTGCCCTGGACAGATCAGATGAGCAAAATGTGGGGAACAGGGAGAAGAAAGACAGGGCATGGCGGAAAAACAGGAAGGAGGACAAAAGAGGGAGACAAACCTCACTCTTCAGAGCAACCTGCCTCTGCACATCAAGCAGCTGCTGCTTCTCCCTCCGGGCAGTCTCCTCCTTGCAGAGAAGAGACAGGATTTTCTGGCTGACTGCAGACCCCAGGTCTGAGGGGCTGGGCCTGCCCTCTGCTAGAGGAGCTATGACTCTGAGGTCAAGGACTCCTGCAGATCCCTCACCTGGACCTCCAGCAGAGCCAATCTGGCCTTGACATCTTTAGCTCTGGTTTCAAGGTCCAACTCTAAATCTTGGAGCTTCCTTTCCTGCCCAGAAAGAGAAAGACATAAGCACAGAAAGAGTGTAAGGCATTAGCTGAGGGGCAGGAGGGGGTTCCAGAACCCACCATGCCACACCACAACCTTCACTCTGGGCTCAGGCTTCCTCGCTGTGTGCCCCTGCAGCCTCCCAGGAAGGCTCCGCACCTTGTTTACTTCCTGCTGGAGCAAGGAGACGCGAAGGTGCCAACCCCAATGCCTTACAGGGGCTGACCTCTAGTTCTAATCCTGGGTGTGTTCCCTGGCCCAGAAAACAAAGCAGCAAGGATGCCCCAGCTTGGAGATGGCCAGTGAGAGACTCGCACTCCAGAAGCTGTCAGGCTCCATCCTGCTGGGGCCACGCGTTTGCTCCCAGCGCCTTCTTACTGTGCATGGAGGGGTCACAGTGGGCTCACCCTGCCCCAGGCCCCTCACCTGCTCCCTGTGCCGGCGCCGCAAGTCCTCAAGATGCTTGTGTTGCTCCTGCCTCACAGTCTCCAATTCTCGCTCATGGGCCCTCTGTAGGCGCTCCAGCTCTCCGGTCAGGTGCCCCAGAAGTTCAGCCCGCTGCTTCCTCTCCTGCGAGGATGAGCCCACTGGTGGGAAGCTGCGGCGGCCCCTTCCACCACAAAAATCACAGCTCCCCCAGCCCTGCAGCCTTGCGTCAATAAGATCAGGGACACCATCGGTTCCCTAAAGCCAGCTCTTGGAGAAGAGGACGGTTACAGGCACAGCACCAGCCCTGACCCCAGCAAGCCTGCGGCCCTCTACAGCTGAAGCAGAGGCTGGCCGGACACCATGACGGAATCCCCCTCTGGCTCTCCTATGGCTCCACTATATACAACTTTTCCTCCTTAAGGAATGAGAGGTCACTGATAAAGTATCACTATTCTTCAGCACGGTCATAATTGGTTGGGGGAAGGGATGCAGCAAATTTCATCATGGGACTGCTATTTCTGCCCTGGAAAAGATCCTAGAAAGAGTCTGGGATACTGGTTCCAGTTACTGGAGCAGTACTCTTAACGCCCTGCAGGGGCCCAGCTGTGGGCCATAGTCAGCCACCCTCTACCCACTCAATGTTCACCCTCAATGTGAGCAAGCCAGGCCAGCTTGGGTACACTCAAGTCGCTGAACTTTCCTACCTTAAGCTCAAAGACTTAAAATGGGGAGAATATCAGTATTACTTGGTTCTTGCCAGTCTATTTCTTGGTGTCCTGAGATGTTGAGGAACCCTGGTGACATGGCGTTGCAGTGAGGAAACTGAAGACTTTGGAGTCGGACACCCTGGGCTTGAATCTTAGCTCTTCCACTTATTAGCTGAGTGTGATCTTGGCAAGCTACTTAAACTCTCCAAGTCTCAGTGTCCTCATCTTTAAAATGGAGATAATGATACTAGATCTTTCCTAAGGCTGGTGTGAGGACTAAACGAGTTAAAATAGATAAAGAGCTCAGAACAGTTCTCGGCACACAGTACAAGCTCAACGTATGAGGGGTCTTTTTACCATCAGAAGAAAGTGCAGCCTGCCTGATAAAAAAGGAATTGCCCCTCATTAGGTGGAGGTCTTTTCCATGCTTTAATAAAAAAGGCAAAAAACATCATCGTGGCAGGGTACTAGGAAGGAAAACCTCCCACAATCCCTGACCACAGTTTATCCCCTTCCTCTGCCCCACAGTCAGGTGGGAAGGACCCCGGGGTGTGCGTGCATGTGCATGCGTGCGTGTGTGCGTGTGTGCATGTGTGTGCGCATGTGTGTGTGCATGTGTGTGCATGCGCACAGGGGATGTGGCCGAGCTACCTCAGCTTCATACTGCTCTCTGGCCTTAGCCATCACTTGCTGGTGCTCCTCCTTCATCTTGTCCAACCTCCTCTCATGCTCTCCTTCCACTTCCTGGCGCTTCTCTCGCAGGAGACTGCTGAGCTGCAGGGGAGACGGCAGGCATGTGGCATGCAGAACCGAGGTGGACCAGCACTCAGGGCCTGCTGCACCTGAAGGTCTTACACACATTTCCCCAATCTCCCCACACACACACACAACATGGACATCACAGAGCCATGACACCATGGTCAGCACACAGCCATACCCCAACACACCCTCTCCACATGCATACAGGGGCATCAGATTGGAGGAGTACCTGGTTTCAAGGGAACTAAAGCATAAAAATGGAACCAGAAGTGCTAACCCCAGCTGAGCCATGAAAGCAAACTGGAGGCCACTGAGGCTAGGACGGCTCAGCTGACTGTAAGAGAGTCCACGACAGGTGCACATACCTGTGGAAGATGCAGAGCAGCACTCACCTCTTGCTCATACTCAGCCATGTGATAAGCCTTCTGGTGAACTCTGTGCTCCACCTGCCCAAGGCACTTCTGCAGCTGGGCCTCCTCTTTCTGTTGAGCTTCCTCTATCTTCTTCTGGAGGCTGGAGACCACCTGAGGAGGCCCCCGCACACACAGGGAAGTGTGTCCCTCAGGGATACTATACTGTACAGCTGCTGTGTGGGGATGTGTTCTGAGGACCTGGCATCCATCCCCAGGGGCTGGAGGGAGAGGCTCACTGCCTAGTAGCCAGGGATGGGGCTGAATTCTGTTAATCAGCCATGAAGGGGGCCCAGAATACTGCGTCTCACCTCCTGGTGCTTGGCCTCCAAAGAGGAGCAGAGCCGCTCCAGCTCAGCACCATGCTCCTTCTCCAGCCTTGCCACCGCCTGGGAAGGAGCAAAGGGACTGTGAGGGAAGCTGGCCAGGCACTGACCATGGTGGGAGGCAGAGCCAGGAAGACTACCAACCCCCAACCCCTTGAGATCAGGGTCAAGGGAAGCACAGGGAAGCACAGCACAGCTTTGTTCCTCTGAAATAACTCAGCCCCTGAAGTCTACAACTGGCAAATGAACAGGAACATGAAGGCCAGAAGAGAGGGGCATTTCAGTAAGTTTCGGCTCTCTGCTCCCACCCCCTCCCTTTAGACTAGGCCACAGGTCCACAGACGGTGCTCATGCTGGTAAATAAGATCCAAGTCAGGGGGGCCAGGTTGGATGGTATCATTAAGTCAGGCCATGTAGAACCTTCTTTTTATTTTGGTGAGGTGCAAAGCTGCAGCTTTTAGACATGGAAAACACTACAGCAAGACAAGGGAACTCCAATGCACTGCAAGTGCTCAGAGAGACTGTGCTAAAACCTTCAGAAGCCAGCCATCTGACTGGAGTACAGGGAGTATGGACAAAGAGAAAATCCCTGCTATATTGCTAGCCTCTCATCCTAAGAAAGGAGGGAAAAGTGGGGAGTGAGGCCCTTGCAGCTGTCCCTCGCTGTCTCTGAGGGACAGAGCGCCCTTGTCTCAAAACCTCTGGTCTGGCTAAATCTCTTTCAGTCACCAATTTTCTCAAATCCACAGGACACTCCCCTTCAAGCCTCTGATGGTTCTCTGCTTGAGAACCTCCAGCCACCACTGCCAACCAGCCTGACCCTGGAGGGGCCTCGGGATGCCTGCTGCATCCTCTGCCCTGCCATGGACAGCAGAGCAAGCTCTTGCCCTGAGCTAATTTGGTCCATATGGAGTAATGGGCCCAGGCAGTCACCTCGCCATCTCCCATGCCAGTCTATGTGTGAGACCTACTCTCCACCTGGCTCCCCAGCCTGCACGCCCACCCGAGGCTTGCCCTTCCTCTCCCTGTGTTCTCGGTCCCCTCCCAGGCAGCCCAGACACATATCAGAGGGTGAGGTCCCCACTTGACTGACTCACTTCTTTCCTCTCCCCTTCCAGCTGCTCCCTCAGCTGCTGCAGAGCCTTCTCCTTAGCAGCGTTCAGGGCAGCCTGTTCGCTCTTCTCCGAAGCCTCCATCTCTTCCTTGAGCTGCTCCAGCGTTTGCCTATTTTTCTGTTCCAAGCTGGCCCTTTCAGCCTTCTGTTGAAACTCCAACTCTTCTCTCAGTTTCTGCAGGGAAGCCTCTTGCTCAGCCCTGGATGGACAGAGTGGATTGGGAATGGCCCTGTGTACCCTGGGGTCACCTCCGCGAGGCTGGGCAGCTCACAGGTAAGCACGCACTTACCTGATTTGGTCCTCATCTGCTTGTGTGCTGGACTGGATCTGGGCTCGGAGCCAGGATAGCCTCTGGCTTTCCTCCTCTCTCATCCGGGCCTCCTCCTCCTCACTGGCTTTCTGCAGTCGCTCCCTCAAGGAACTGAGATGGAAAGGAAAGGCGAGGTTGTCAGAGAAACCACAAAGGTCTTTATTCTATTCACAGGCTGTGGTTGTCAGTTTCCAATAGCCCTGTTGCCTGCCTAAGAAACTTCCTAAATCTTTTTTTTTTTTTTTTCCTGTTTGGAGACAGGTTCTTGCTCTGTTGTCCAGGTTGGAATGCAGTGGTGTGATCACGGCTTACTGCAGCCTTAAACTCCTGGGCTTAAGCAACCCTCTCGCCTCAGCATCCCATGTAGTTGGGACCACAGACATACACCATCAAACCCAGCTAATTGTTGAGATGGAGTCTCGCTATGTTGTCCAGGCTGGTCTCGAACTCCTGGGCTCAAGTGATCCTTTGGCCTCAGCCTCCCAAAGCACTCAGATTATAGGCGTAAGCCACTGCGCCCAGTCAAAGCTTCCTAAATCTTAAAGATGAGTCTAACCTCAGTCTCTGGGTCTACAGCTGCCTCCCATAATACCTTCCAGGATAATGAGGGAACCATGAACTCCCCTTTGCTTCAAGAAGCAAACTACTGGCCAGGCATGGTGGCTCACGCCTATAATCCCAGCACTTTGGGAGGCCGAGGCAGGTGGATCACTTGAGGTCAGGAGTTTGAGACCAGCCTGGCCATAATGGTGAAACCCCATCTCTACTAAAAATACAAAAATTAGCCGGGCATGGTGGCACACTCCTGTAGTCCCAGCTACTTGGGAGCTGAGACAGGAGAATTGCTGGAACCTGGGATGCAGAGGTTGCAGTGAGCTGAGATCGCACCATAGCACTCCAACCTGGGCAACAGAGCAAGACTCAATCTCCAAAAAAAAAAAAAAAAAGGAAACTACTGGCTTCTGGGTTTCAGTAATACAGCACTTCTTCCAAAGGCTCCCCTCTTGTCAACAGCTTCACCTCAGCATGGCACTCACTCAAAGATAGCTATAGCCACCCAACCTGATTCCACATTCTTTCACTCCGCTAAGCACATCAGCTGAGTCACCGTCCCTCCATTCTACCACACTCTTCCTTCCCAGATCCTCTGCCAAGAATTCCCTTTTCTATCTAGCAAACCCATATTCATTGCTCAACACCCAGTTCCCTCTCTGGGAAGTCTTTCCAACTCCCTCCAAGCTTATCAATTCATCTTTCTGTTCCCATCACTTTACATGGGGACCTTTCTTATCCCATGCTACTCTGCACCATGCATCACATGGCATCATAATTCATCGATGTTCTGTATCTCTGGTTTCCTTGCCAGTCTGGGAGCTTCTCAAGAGAAAGAATCTTGTCTTAAAATCTGTTATATCCCAGGTACCACACATAGTAGCTGACATAAAGTAGGTGCTTAATAAATTAACTGAATTTGAACAGCATCATACAGCCCCAAACTATAAGCAAGTTGTGATATCTACGAAAGGTTATCTTATTTCCACACCAACAACAGTGGCCATTTCATCCTAAGCAGACATCCCCCTGCTTACACAAACCACATCCTTTTCAAGTAACTCCTCACACAGCCCCGCACGACCAGGGGATGTGTGCTGGGCACTCAGGGAATTAAAGCCTAGGAAAAACATGATTCGGAAGACAATTCCTTTGAAAAGCTGCAGTAACAAATCCTAAAGCCAAAAAAAGACTTAGGATTCTTTCCTATTTCAAGATACGAACACCATTACTTTCTTCCATTAAGAGAGAAAATTTGGCCGGGCATGGTGGCTTACGCCTGTAATCCCAGCACTTTGGGAGGCTGAGGCGGGCGGATTATCAGGTCAGGAGATCAAGACCATTCTGGCTAACCCAGTGAAATCCCGTCTCTACTAAAAATACAAAAAAAAAAAAAAAAAAAAAATTAGCCAGGCATGGTTGCAGGCACCTGTAGTCCCAGCTACTCGGAAGGCTGAGGCAGGAGAATGGTGTGACCCGGGAGGCACAGCTTGCAGTGAGCCCAATGAGCCACACACTCCAGCCTGGGCGACAGAGCAAGACTCTGTCTCAAAAAAAAAAAAAAAAAAAAAAAAAAAAAAAAAGAGAGAGAGAGAGAGAGAGAGAGAGAGAGAAAATTTGAAATAAGTAAAAATCCTTCCTTCTAGATTCCCCAGAAACCCTTTCTCTTTGTCCTATGGTTAAATTTTACACACAGCAACAGTGTTAGAGCTGGCAGGGACTTTAGAAGTTTTAAGTCCAATCCCTTCATTTTACAGTGAAAGAAACTAAGGGCCAATCTGCCTGCCTTCTCCTTCCAGAAATATTTGTTATAAGATCAGCTGTGGCTTCCAGAAATTTCTACCACATGGAAGTTCCCAGCAGAGGGAAGAAGAGCCCATTCCTCAGAAAGGCTTGGGCATAAACAGAAATAGGTTCTGGTGATGAACTATTTTGAAGAAAGTCAGGCAAGGCACTGTCCACAGAGAAGTCACTTAGTCAAGAATGCCTGAACATGCATTGATTTCAACTGAAAATAAAAGTAATTGCTGCTATTTGTTCAGCAACTACTATGTTCCAGGCCATGAATCAAGACACTTTTGGCATTCCAGTCTTCCCCACAACCTAAGAGGGCCTCTGGAGTCAGGGGCCTTGGGAGAGGGATGGAAAGTAGAGTCAGCCAAGCTCAGGGTGGCCAGCAAGAGGGGAGGGGACTGGTGGGCTGACAGGGACACACCGCCAGGATTTCCTCCAAGGCGCTGCACCTTAAGGTGAGTCACACTCTGCTTGGGTGGACCCCTGCCCCAATTCTCAGTTGGCTGGAAGAGGTGGATGCTAGGGGGTTGGAGGTGTCTGTTCTTTGGGATGCTCCCTGGTGGAGGATCCACAAGGATGCAATATAAGGACAGACCCTGGGTCAGTGCTTCCTGCATTGGGCTCATGAGAGATTGTTCCGACCTTCCCAGTACTTGTATGTTGGTTTTCTGTTTTATTTTCTCTAAATTAAGCACAAATGTTTTATATATACTTTGCTAGGTATCATCTAAAAATAATAATTTTCTACCACTCTTAGATGTTTTGTACAAGAGGACAAGACTCAGCCTTTAGTTAAATTGCCAAGTAAATGAAATGTTAACACCTTTTCGTAGTACCTTTCCCATCCTGGGACTGTGACAGATGGCTCATTAACAGCTCAATATCCATTCTCCCTTTCTTCCTTACCAACAGAACCCTGCTTTTATTCTACTGGGTAAAGAGGTCAGCTAAAGGACTACATTTCCCAGTGTTCTCTGCAACTAGGTGTAACCAATGAGATGTAAGCAGAAATTGTTGGGTAAAGTTTCCCAACTTCAGTTGGTCTTGGTAGAACCATGGGCATCCCAGTGGTCCACAGGCTGAGAGGGTGTCCCTGGCTCCTCACATCCCCTGAAAGGCCCCGGGAAGCATGCCCAAGGGAAAGGGCAGGACCTGAGAGATTGCTCTTTCTGCTGGTGAAGCCGGAGAATCTCCTCTTCCTCCTCTTGGCACAGCTTCTCCCGCAGTTGCTGCATCTTCTCTTGCTTCGATTCCAGCAGGTGCCTCTGGTCTTGCTCGAGTACTTGGGCCACTGCCTCTTCCATGGCCTTTAGTGCAGCCTCTGAGAGCTGCTTTGGGGGAGCCACAGGCTCTGTGAATCGCCTGCCATGGGTGGGGAATGGCATATCATCACAGGGTTAATGTCCACCCACCTCTGCATCCAGGTTAGAATGAATACAGAACATCACAAATGGAATCCTAATGGAGGGCCCACAATCAGGAGTCAAACAGCTCACCCAAGGGCAGGCAAGAGATATGGTCAATGCTTGTTCTATAGGACAAGCCCCACGGTGGCTGTTTAAGGCCCCAAGAGCCAAGGGAGAAGGGCAGCCCACAGCAGGCTCTCAGCTGACTTACGAGGTTGTGGCCCAAGGTCAAAATCTGAAGCTACAGCTCAAGAGCTGGCAGCAGCAGGGAGAGAGTGAAGCTCTGTCCCTACTGGATTCCTTCCCAGAATGGCTCATAGCCCCATTACCACCTCCCCACTAGAGCTCTGCCTGCTACTTAAGGCTCATGCCAGCAATTTGGGAACAGTCCCCAGAGACTGCTTTCTGCCTCCCAAACTGAGTAGTGGCCAATGTATATGGGCCCATGAAAGAAGCAGCAGCAGGTCTCCTAGCTCTGAGAACTACAACAGTCCAGGAAAGCCCAGGAATAGGAAGCTCCCCTATCACAACACCATGGGGGCCAGGAGCAGATGCTCCCCTAAGCCAAAAAACGTAGCAAGTGTGCACATGAGTGCCATGTTCCCCGTCTACCCGTGGGGGCACGTTTTCGTCTGCTTAGAGTTAATTAAATGTTTAGAAATGAGTAAAAGGAATTCAGAGCTGACCTGGATGCATAAGAGGGTGGTGAGATCAGGAATAATGGTATCCATTAAAAAGATGTGTGTAAAGTAATAAGGACTGTTATTTTGCTTGTTTTCTGGTTCTTCAAGGAAATGCCCAAAGAGGAATCCTGAGAACATTCTGAGCAGGATAAAGCATAAGCAGGATAAAGCATGAGGAAAGCATGAGCAGGATAAAGCATTTTGCCTTCCAGAGTGACTTTCCTAAAGGCCAGAATGTGCCTGCACATCCAGGTCCCTCAATCTCACAGTGGAAACTGGTCTCACCACACACCCTCCTCGCACAGCACTCAGGCTGCTGCAGGCCTGGCACGGTGGATCAGTCAACCTAACCAGAAAGTGTGGCATGACCCAAAACAAAGAGGGCTGGGCAAGAGTCAAACAGGGGAGCTGGTCTTCCCTGCTGGGGACTCAGAACCCCTTCTCCCTCCAGCTCGAGCCCCACTGCAGATGGAAAGCAGCGGGCAGGATCAGATTAGAACAGTAGAGGAAAACAAGGGCTTAGGAATCCCACTGCAGCACCTTGAGACTAGACAGAGAGGAAGACAGGACAGGCTACTGTCATCTCTGAAATACCATAAAGACCTTTCATTTTCCCTTTCCTAAAATCATAACTTGGACCAGAAATGATCTTGAGCTATGCCTTCAATTCTTTTCTGCTCCCAACTCCATCTCCTCCTTTCTTCCAAAGCCTGGCTTCCTCTGAGTCCCCTGACACAGCCCAACTGATGCAGATGTAAGACATGTGGCTGCCACCTCCTCTGAGAATCCTGCCCTCAGAAAGAGCCTTCCCCAACAGCTCTCCGCCTCATCAACCCTCCAACTCATTTCCAACCTTGGCTGAAAACATCTTTTTTCCCTGAGATGGTACCTTTGAATGTCTCTCTCTCCTGCAGGCTGCAAGCTATGTGGAGCCCTAGGGACAGATGCTCTGGAAAGATGGGGCATCACACCACGTGGGGCATGTGCCCAGGCTATGAGCACCAGTGAGCTTGCACAGAGGCAAGCTGGGCCGTCTGTCAGTGGACCTCTTCTCCCTTGCCCTGTTTTAAAGATCTAGTAGCTCAAACTGCTAGCTCAGGTCCAAGGCAGTAAACAATGCCTGAAAGATCCATGACATGATCGGGAAGTTGAGGACTCCAGGGGAAGAAACAGCTCTGATTTCTAGGCCAACTCCTCAGGTATCAGAGTCAGTGGGACCCAGTTTCCTACAGTGAGTGACAAAGGGGAGGCTCTGCAGGAGCATAATCATTTCAGGCTGACCAGCAAGTAGCTCAAAGATACGTGTGAGAAAGCCAGAAGGGAAAGCAGGGAGAGACAGGGAAGGAGAGCAGAGGGCGGGGAAATGGCACCTGGGAACACTGCGAAACGGATTTCATGGTACTACCACAAAAGTTATGTCTCCTCTCATACTCAACTTCGTGGTTTTGATTCTTTTACCCTCTTCTCTGCACATCCTCATGAAAGATGCTGGCATGACAAGGGGAGAATCTTCCTGTTTCCTAGTCCTGGCCTTGGCCAGAAAGCATTCAGTGAGTGGCATGTGCTGCCTTCTGGCCTACCTGCTCCCTCTAGCCTGCCCTCTGCTCCTAACCCTTCAGACCCAGCTTGCCTACACCTTTGGAAGCTGACAGACACAGAACTACTCCCACAAAACCTAGACAACCCATTTGCTCCTAATGCAGCTGTAAAGATTAATAACAAGGAAGTGATGGGGCCTGAAGAGACTCAGGAAAGAACAGAAGGCATTTCCTAAGGGGATGGTGTAAACTGAAACTGCGTTGTCAACTATCTCTGAGACCCTAGCAGGGGCAGCCTTGCTGGGATGGCAGGACAAACACAAGGGAAGGGAATGAATCAGCCAAGGCAGCTGAGGAGGAGCCAGGGAAGCCGAGGCCCCAACTGAGCCCTGCTGCCCAGGCTTCACTCTAGAGATCCTGGGAAGACACCACTCTGACGTCGGCCCAGTCTTCCTCTCTCTGAACTACACCCACCTCCTGTCCTCAGAGAAAGTATCCTGAACTGGCTGACCACAGCCACCAAGGTGACAGGAAGGCTGTATAATTCCTAATTCCTCAAGGTCACAGTTTCCATTGTAGGATGTATCACCACCGGAAAGACGTGACTACCCCTTCCCTACACCACTCCTACAATGTTATGGTGACGACACGAGATCCTGAGCTCACGTGCCCTGCCAGCTCTCAGTGAGTAATGTGTGCATGAACTTGCTGTGAGTAACGTGTGCGTAAACCTGTCTCTGTTCATGAGTCAGTCCCAAATCCTTTAGACCTGCTCAGTTCACAGAAGGGAAGATGTTTAAGTCCTGACCCTTGTCTTTCTCCATGCAGAGAAAAGGAACAGTGGCTGCAGGCTAAGTCAGAAGTCTAAGGCTCTAGTGACTAGAATCCAGTGTTTTTATTTGAGACAGAGTTTCGCTCTTGTTGCCCAGGCTGGAGTGCAGTGGCATGATCTCGGCTCACTGCAACCTCCGCCTCTCAGGTTCAAGCCATTCTCCTGCCTCAGTATTCCAAGTAGCTGGGATTATAGGCGCCCGCCACCACGCCCAGCTAATTTTTGTATTTTTAGTAGAGACGGGGTTTCGCCATGTTGGCCTGGCTGGTCTCAAACTCCTGATCTCAGGTGATCCGCCTGCCTTGGCCTCCCAAAGTTCTGGGATTACAGGTATGAGCCACTGTGCCCTGCCTAGAATCTAGTTCTAATTCTGCCGCTGACTAGCGATGTGACCTTAGATGAATCCCTTCACTTCTCTGAGCCTCAGTTTCCTCATCTGAAAAATGGGTAGGAAGGGGAAGCGTGACAATGGAAGGAGAAAGCTAAATGATTTCTAAATTTTAGAAGTACTTGGTTCAACATAGGTGAACCACAAAAACACATTGAGCTTTGAACACAAGCACAAAAGATCAATCCTGTGTACTGTATAATTCCATTTATGTGAAGTGGAGAACTGGAAAAACGACCCTTTGGCCAAAACTTGGAGCTCAGAGGTCAGAACAGTGAAGACCTGGGGTGGGTGGCTTGAGAAGGGCACGAGGAAACTTCCTCGAGGGATGGAGACATTCCCCATTTGAGTGGCTGTTATACAGTGTGCACAGATGCAAACTTTCACTGAACTGTACACTTCAGGCCTACGTACTGCAGTGTACTTACATACCTCAACAACATTTTTGAAGAGAAAAACAGTGGTTGGTAGACAGGAAACATGATTTAGCAAGTTTAGCAAATGAGCCAGGAGGTACCCCCTCATCCGCCCTTGTACCTCAAGTCCTGACCAGGAGCCCCAGGGACCAAAGCTAATCCCAGGTAAGGATCAGTCACGCCTGCGTGAGGCTCTCAAGACAGCACACAGAGCACCAAGGACATGCTTAATCTCCCTATACTCTAACCCCTGGCCAGAGCCTGAGCCCCACCTCCCACCACCCAAGAGTCAATAGGCACTGAAGCAGCCCACACGCAGAGGAGGACAGGGACAGACACGCAAAACTGGCCCTTACACCTCTGGAGAGACTGGCGGGGTGGGGCTGACCGCCACCTTCTCCTCATTCTCCTCTGCCTCTTCCTGCCCAGGGCCCAGCTCCTCGGCCTGGGAATGCTGCTCCGTGCCCTTCTCGTGGGCAGCAGGTGGGCTTGGGGCCTGCTCCCTTGGTAGCAGTAAGGAAACAACTGTGTTAAAGCCAGTAAGAAAGCAAGAGGCTTAAGACGCATGCCATTTGGGGTCAAAGAGCTATGATAGAGACAAGAGAGAGAGCCCCAACAGTTTCCCTACCTCAGGTCTTAAACCTCCCTCTCCCCACCCTTCCTCTCCCTGAATTATCTGCATCAAAGACCAGAGACTCCTGCCTCACAATGGAAGCAGGATGGTTATGGTACCCCAGGAGCTCCGTACATAGCAGGTGTTCAGTGGATGCTTTGATTGCACATCGATGCTGCTCAGGTTCCCTAGTGATTCATTCCAACCCAATAAATTCTAAGACCAGCATGTTTCTCTTGCTAGGGGGACAGAGAACTAGCAAATGTCCACCATGCTCTGGACTAGGCTAGGAAAAAAAGGTCCTCTCAGCTGGACTCAGAGTGATCTGGGCTTCCCTCTCTCTGGGCCGAGCACATAACAGAGCTCCAGCTGGGGCTGCTGAATGACTAGAAGTAGGATGACTATTGGAAACAGGGGTGCTGGCAGGGAGGGGACTAGAGAAAGGGCTTTCCTGGCAGGAATGGAGCAGCCAGGGTGACACCAGTCTCTGCTCCAGCCCCTTGCAGGTAGGCACCTGGGACAAAAAAGACACCTCCTTATTCAAGAGTTTCTAAGTTCCTCTAATCAGACCACATACCCTCATTTCAGCTGCAGACTGAGGACTAGGAAGAGGCACATGTCCTCATATCCAGCTCCCATGGGACACTAAGCAGAGCCTCTGCTGCTGCTGCTGCTGCTGCTGAGGCTACAAACCCGCCCCAGTTCCCCACTCCCTCCCCAAGCCAACCCCAGCCCCATCTCTCTCAGCACTAGCACACATACCCACTACACGCAGAGCGGCCGCCACCCAGGGGTGCTTCCCCTCATCCTTACCTCTGGAGGGAGAGCTGCGGGCTGAGGCTGGCTGCAGAGTCCTCCCCAGGCTTCTCTGCCTCCTTCCACTCGGGCTGCCCCTCGGGGCCCTCGGGGGGCTCTTCTTCGGTGGCCAGGCTTCGAGGGGGACTCTGGGCCCGCTCCTCATGTGGAAGTGGAGGAGATAACCTGGTCAGGACAGGCAGAGCAGCGGAGTCAGGTCCCTCCATTTGGAGAGCGGGAAGAGAACTGGGGAATACAGTGCGTGGACTTAGGTCATTGCCTCCTCCTGGGTTATGCTCCAGCCCCGTCCCCACATCCATCCGTGGAGAGCCACAGCAGGGCAAGGCAGCCACACATGTGGGAAGGAGTGACTCCCTCCTGAGCCCCCCTTTTGCCTAGACTGGAGTCAGGCTCCACAGGGGTCCCTATGCTGCCTCTGCTTGGTTCAGGAATCAGAGCAGGACACACTCACAAGTGTGCCCATCCCCAGAGCTCCCCATCGCTGGGGCCAGGAAGGGGTGGAAGAACTAAGTGGGGAGAAAAAGAGAAGCCAGACTCAAGAGGTCAGACTAGAAAATGCACGAAGCTGTCATGGATAGGTTTTGAGGGTCTAAAAGTGAAATGACCATTCTCCTTCCCCTTCTAGGGTGGCAGCGCTTGTCATGGGGCTCAGGCCTGAGAAGCTGAGAGCCCCTGTCACATCACACACAGTTGCACACTCACAGATAGCTGCAGCCATTTCTGATGTGGCAGGGCCCTGGCTCAGAGCTCTGAGTTGCAGTACCAACCCTCCAATGTGACTCCTCCAGACCTCCACAAGGTTTCTTCAGCCCTGGCCCATAACAGGCACACACACAGCTTAATCAGCCCTGGCCCCACAATGGTGCCTGGAGTCCTGCCAAATGCACCCAGTGGCACTTCACATTCCCATCTTGGTGGAGAATCAGAGGGTCTGCTCATGCATGCAAACATATATACACATTGCCAGTACACACACGTGCACATACATATACACACGTATGTGCACACACAGACCCTGCAAGGCCATCCAGCCAGTTCATCACCTGCTGCCAAGCAAGTATACACTGAGCCAGGCCAGCCACCAAAGCCAAGTCCACACCACCCTGAAGGCACACCCCTGGGGATAGTCTCCCACCTATGGTACCTCTCCAAGCCTTTGGACTGCTTGCTCTGCAGCTCATCTTGGCTGGACTGGCTGTCATCCTTGTCTTCTATTCCCAGTGGTTGCTGGGCCTGTAGGAGAGAAGCAGTAAAGAGTCTGTGTTGGAGGGACTGCATTTGGGTCCCTCCATCCTCCTGCTGGCTCTCAAGCTTAGGAGAAAGCTTGAGAAGTTGCTCTCCAGAGGATGGGACCATACAGGACACAGAACGGAAGGTTCATCTACTGCACAGTGAAGCTTCCCCAAGCTTTGGCTAAGCCCCCAGGCTCACAGCTGCTCCCTGGGCTGGCCTTGAGGCCTGGGGAGGATGTGGCAGAAGACCACAGCCATTACACATAGAGTCAGGCGCCAGAGGCCGAAGCAGAACACACAAGAAAAAGAAAATCCTGCCTCCTGCTGCGGGAAGCCTGCACTGCAAGCCGCGCAGAGAAAGCAGAGAAATCCATGAGTACCCCAAATCCACAGAAGCCCAGATGAGCAGTGTGCCAGCGAATTACAAGGGTGCTGAAATTAAGGGCAGAATCAGGGGGCACAGGCAAGCACATGAGTAAGGATAAGTCCCGGAGAGATGGAGTACTGGTAGAATGAGAGAGAGAGAGCTGTGCCCAAGACAAAAAGGGCACCACCTGGCACCTGGAGGAAGACAAAGTGCTCCTTCACTACCTTCAGGGACCCCCAAGCACCCAGGCCCCATCAGCAGACAATGATGCCCCCCTCCCAGTCAGCAATTACATCATCCATCAAAAACAAAACCAAACAGGACAACAATCTCATTTTAAAGCTTGGGTGACTAGTGACATTTAGCGAGTCAGTTAAAAAAAAGGAGGCAGGAAGAACTATTCTTTGAGGCAAGTTCTTTGACAAGAACTATTCTCACTCTGTCACCCAGCCTGGAGGGGAGAAATATTCCTGATCATTTCAAATATTTTCCACAGGGGGATAGCAGTGTAGTCAGCCTGGGGTCAACCCTTTGTTCTAGCTCTTCCTGCCTGGGAAGTCTGTCTCCTCCACTGTATAAAACGGGATCGTATACTGCAACTCACAGGGCTTCTGGTGAGGATCAAAGCAGCTCATATACGTAAGGCCCAACTCACAACCCAAAGAAGGCACACCACCAATGTTAGCTCCTCTTCCCACATTCCTCTCCCTCTCCCCCAGCCTAAGGTGAAAAACAAAAAGAAAAGACTCTGCCAGTGCCAGTCCCGATCCTAGGACCTGCACTCCTTCTGTCACACCAACAGGAGCCCCGTCTGTTCTGGGACACAGGGTCAACAGGAGAGGTGGGGCGGGAGACAGCTCACTCTGTCTTCCCCAGTAGGGTCCCTAGCCCTGTGCCCACAGCCCCCACACCTCTCCACTGGCAGCCTAAGCCCCAGCAGCTGTGGCTAACCCTGCCATCTGGATGGGTGAGGAAGGGCAGGGCTTGAACTAAAACCCAGCTCCCCCAAATTACATTAAAAATAGAAATGCTGCCTGTGAGTGCCTCCTGGTGCCTGCAGCAGAAGGGCTCCCTGCCAGGGCTGCCACTCCTCATCACATCAGCATGGGCAGAGCCTGCAGACAACGGCAGGGCATGCAGCCTTTCCCGCCCCACCTCGTTCCCCTTCTAGCGTGCAACTCACAACTTGTCTCCCCCTACAGACCACATCATGCTCATCACGTATCTCCCTCTCTCACCCATCAAGAAGGAAAATCACACAGGCCCACTCCAGTTAACCAACTAAAATATAACACAAGTAATAAAGTGAGGTGATAGTAATAAAAATAGGGGGACTGAGCCCTGAGTCAGAAAGGACTCCGGGGCTATCAGCCACACACCGTAAGAAAAAAGGGAGCGGATAGGAGGGCTGGCTGCAGACCATGGCCTTCCGGTCTCTCCCTTCTTGTTTCACCTCTATTTCTGTGAGAAACTGAACCATCCCCACTAACAGAGAAAAGGGGACCCTCTGGGAAATACCGGGACAGATGGTCCTCTTGGTATAGAGGGTCCTCTTTCTTAACTTTTTTGCTCCAGAAAAGGAAGCCAAGGAACCAGATGAGGAAAGCAGCCAAGGTCACCATTCTTCAGAAAGGGGAGACAATCGCACATCCTAAGCCTCTGGCCTAAAATACCATTTCCCTCTCCTTAACTCGGCTCTAGGGTCTTGTTTTTGTTTAAGATTCAGTCCTCAGTTAAATAAACCATGGTGTATTCATACAGCAGAAGACTGTGCAGCCAACAAAAAGAATATGGTAGATCTATATGAAATAACTCAGAAATAAGTCAAGGGCCGGCCGGGCGTGGTGGCTCATGCCTGTAATCCCAGCACTTGGGAGGCCGAGGTGGGCGGATCACGAGGTCAGGAGATCGAGACCATCCTGGCTAACATGGTGAAACCCTGTCTCTACTAAAAATACAAAAAAAATTAGCCGGGCGTGGTGGCGGGCGCCTGTGATCCCAGCTACTCAGGAGGCTGAGGCAGGAGAATGGCATGAACCTGGGAGGCAGAGCTTGCAGTGAGCCGAGATCGCGCCACTGCACTCCAGCCTGGGTGACAGAGTTGAGACTCCGTCTCAAAAAAAAAAAAAAAAAGAAAAAAAGAAATAAGTCAAGGGCCTATTCTCAAATTTAAAGAGCACATCGCCAAGCAGTTTAGGTAGCACAATCACAATTTTTATGGGAAGAAAAAAGATAAGCAAGTAGAAAATAAATATATGCTTATATGTACACAGAAAATTTTCTGGAAAGGCACATGAAAAATGTGAATAGAAACTATCCATAGTCCCTGTCTGTGTAAGGCTACAGGAAGTTGAGAACTTGGATCTTCCGTATTATTCGAAATAATTTTATAATCACTTTTCTAATTAATTATGAAATGTATTACGTCGGCAGGGCACGGTGGCTCACGCCTGTAATCCCAGCACTTTGGGAGGCCAAGGCGGGCGGATCACCTGAGGTCAAGAGTTTGAGACCAGCCTGGCCAACACAGTGAAACCTCATCTCCACTAAAAATACAAAAAAAAAGAAAAATTAGCTGGGCATGGTGGTGTGCACCTATAGTACCAGCTACTTGGGGAGACTGAGACAGGAGAATCACTTGAACTCAGGAGGCAGACGCTGCAGTGAGCCAAAATCGTACGACTGCACTCCAGCCTAGGTGATAGAGGGAAACTCCACCTCAAAAAAAAAAAAGAAATGTATTATGTCTAATTCATTATAATCGTTTTTTGTGGTGATGGTTGTGAAGGTATACAATATGGTAAAACGTATCAAATAAATGTGCAGTTTATTGTATGTCAATTATACCTCAATTAAATTGCATTGAAAATATTTTAAATGAACAGAAACTAGTATAGCTCAGCCCTCTGCCCTGGTCCTGCCCTTGAGAGAGAAGTGGAGAATATGGCAAAATGGGCAAGAACGCACAGGAAGGACAGAGGATGGCATCTACCGTTTTGTCCCATGCTGCTCTCTCCTCCAGCTCCCCCTCCCCAACTCGACCCCTCCACCCCCAGAGATGGTGGACAGCTGGAGGCTGAGCCTGCAAAGGCTTGGCTACTCAGTCAGCCACGCTGAGTACCATTACCCACATCACGACAGGCAGGTCACAAGGTATAGCTTAGGGGAAAGGTCCCCAACCCCTGGGCTGCAGAGCAGGGGGTGAACAGTGGGCAGGCAAAGAAACATTACCACTTGAGCTCCCCCTCCTGTCAGATCAGCGGTGGCACTGGGTTCTGACAGGAGCATGAGCCTATCATGATCTGTGCATGCCAGGGATCTAGGTTGCGCACTCCTCATGAGAATCTAATGCCCCCGACCCCATCTGTGGAAAAATTGTCTTCCAAGAAACTGGTCCCTGATGCCAAAAAGGTTGGGGACCGCTGACTTAGGGCTTCCTCTGCCAGGGATGGCCACCTCAAGAGGCTGCACCTCGTGAGAACCAAAACCACGTCAGGTCCTGCTACTGCGTTATAGCAAGTGGCACAGCCCAAAAAGAGGCTGCTGGCCACATCAGGTCTTAGGTAGACCCAGAAATCTGTCTTTTTCTCAAGCTCCCAAGTAATTCTGATACTGGCCAGGTGTTGGACCCCAAGCAATGGGATCTACCTCCACCCCACTGACTCGGTAACGTTCCCACTCACCTACTGCCAAAGGAGCTCCACAATTCGCCCCCTCCAAACCTTTCCTGACTAATCCCACCTTCCTCTGCCTGTGCCTTCACATCTCTCTAGCACTGCAAACAGCATGACCAAGATCCAGCAAGGACCTGGTGGCTGGACAGTGGCCCAGAAAGGTTTTATCAGCCAGAGCTGAGAGGAACATGTGGGGCTCAAACGCAACTGGCCCGAAAACTCTAGCCTGCCTCTAGCACACATTTCACTAAAGGCTCCAAGGCTGGGTTCATATTAAACATCTTGTTTGTTTCACCCAACAAATTTCCATTTTGCCCAAACCAAATGTTCCCTTAAACTTACAGAGATCATGTGCCAGAACTGCTCTTCTAACCAATCCACAAAGAAAAAGAAAAGTCTTCTTGGCTTGAAGCTCCCTAAGGACAGGATCTGTGTTTGAGTCATCTTTGTACCCCATGTGGGTCAGTCACCATCCATGCCCACACAGAGTTTACATCCGGCAGGGGAGACAGACAAACAACCATCAAACAAAACAAGAGGGACTAAGTGGAGCAAAGAGAGGGAATAATTCATCCCATTCGAGGAGGTGGTGTCAGAGGTGAACCTCCAGGACCGAAAAAGAGCTTGCTGGGAAAAACGGGAAAGCAGAGTGGCAGGCAGAGGGGTGGTGGAGGTGGAGAGTGTGCCCCGGGATGGTGAGCAGCAGACCCAGCTGGTGAGCAGCAGGTGGGCTGGGCATGTAAAGAGGACGAATGGGCCAGGATGGGAAGTGCCTTGAAATCTACAGTCTACACAGCGCTTTGCACATGAGCAGACAGTCCACTCTTCAGCTGCTGAATGAGTGGATAAAAGGATAAATACATGATGGAAGAGAGCTTTAATTTATAGCAACAATGCAGGAATGGTCAGAAGCCCCATGAAAGGCAGTCAGGACCATGCCTTAATGAATTAGAAGGGAGAGAACTTCCAGAAATGCAGCCTGTGATGGGCAGGGCTCAGTCCTGGGTCATCCGAAAAAGTGGTTGTGAGGAAAAATGAGGCCCCAGCTCAGCCCACCACCCAGAGAGACTCACCTGCCAATGAGTTCCATCCAGGGCCGGGGAAAGCACATCGATATCCAGCAGGTGCTCTGAGATCCGGCTGTGAAAACCGAAGTCCTGGAGACAGTGGAGATGCAAAGGTCAGCTCTGCCTCTGTCACAGTCAACACCCACCAGGCCTCTTCACTACCCCAACTCCACTTTCCAGAAAGATGTCTGCTATGTGCCCAGCTCTGTGCCAAACATTTCAACATCACTAATTTCATCTTCAAAATAACACTGCGACTCGATGGAAAGATATGTGATCAAGCAAGTATGGTAAAATGTTAACCGTGGCCTACAGATGGTAAGTATGTGGGTATTCACTGTACAATTTTTAAAATTATTCCATATGTCTGAAACTTTTCATAATAAAATTATGGGGAAAAAATAACCCTGTGAGACTAAAACTCTTTCCCTCATCTCACAGATAAGGAAGCAGGCTGGAGAGCACATATAACTAGCCCAAGGCCACACAGCTGATAAGCAAGGGACCTGAGGGTCAGATGGGGCCCTGCACTGACGGCAAAGCCCAAGCTCTTTCCATGACACATGCTGTGAAGGATGTCACTTTCCGGCTATCTCTCCCTCTCCGTGGTGCCCAACTAGGCACAAGAAGAAATGCCAGCATCCCCAGAAAACCTGTGGGCAGTTTTGAAATGAGTCTTGGTGGGCCCTTTCCAGCTCGTTCCATCCGTTTTGCATACAGGTGCCCACCTGGACAATGAGAGTTAATTAGTGGTGCTTCCTGCACTGGCTTCTCTTTGGGACAGGCAGCAAGTGCCCACACTGGTGCCAGTTTGTTGCTGTCCTCTGGCTGCCACAGGCCCATGATCCCACCTTCTCTGAGCCGAAGATCCCTGCTGGGCTAAGTGAAGGACTGCTGCCCAATAGCATGTTAATGGGGACAGTTCTGTCACATCAGCCCTGACTGATGGTGGGACGCCCAGACAAAATCTGGTCCTGCTGTCCACAGCCTCCTCCATCTACTTCCGTAGAGAAGAAAAATGCTGATGGGCACATTTCTCCACATGGGTGACTGCTTTAGAAGAGCCAGCTCCCTTGCTTCCGAGAGATCTGTGACATGGCGATTCTTCACGGACAGTTTTTGCCAACAACGACTTTTTACCTTCCCTTTCTAGTTTGTGGGTTTTTCTTCTTTTTTGGTGACATTTTCCTTTCAGTTTGAGTTCTACTTCACTTAATGCAGCTGCCATCTGCCTCCTAAGCCCACGGCTCAGTGAGGGGCGAGCACACACAGCCTCCTAATTCTTCTGCACCCCCCTCATATCATTACTGTTCATCCCTGACCCTCTCCCACTAATCCCTTCCCTTTGATCTGCCTCCTCCAAACAGATGGAGGATGGCTTCTAGAGGTAATGCTCTGCCAAAAAGCACCCTGAACTATTCCCCTTAGGTACAGACCTGGCAAATGAAACCACGATACAGCAGGCTGGGTAGAAGGTCTGGGACAAAGAAACCATGGATGCTGGCATTCCAAGACAAAGCCTTAACTTTAGAAATGAAGCCACGGCATCCCTCCTGGCCTGAGCCTGGGGACTGTCCTCACCACAGCTCAGTGATCCCATAAACACAAACACACCAGTCTCTAACCTCCTAGGCTGATGGCAATTCACATGATCACACAGGGAACTCACACAACAGTGAGAGTAATAATAGCTAACATTTTAACATTATTATATATATAATTACATTAATCATGTTTATATGCTAACATTTTATATTCTCTGCCTTTCTTCTCACAACAAACCTATAAAATAGGAAGTATGACCCTTAGTTAATGGGTTGAGAAGCTGGAGCTAGACAAGACTCAAGCATGAGTTTGAAATTCTCCCACTTATAAGCTGTGTGATGCTGGGCAAATTACTTAACCCTAGAGACTCACAAATCCATGCTCTTCGCCACCACTCTACTGCCCTCATCTTGAACTCACCAGGCCATGGAAGGACTTGGGGTCAGAAGTTATGGAGTCTGAGAGCTGAGGTTCCTTCATGTGTTCACTAATTTCCAGTTCCTAGAGAGAGAGACACACAGAGAAATCCCTCAGAGCAGAGCACAAAGGGACATGGTCCCTACCCAGGGAATTCTGTTCAGGCTGTGGTACCAATATAGGGCTCAGGCCAAACTGAAATCCACTCTTCTTGAAAATCTAAAGGAGGCCTGTGGACGCCGTCATTCTCTCTGGACATGTGCACAGCCTCCCACCTACTGGGGCTGGGCAGCCCACTGAGTAGAGACAACCACACTCTGAATTAGATCAGCAAGGACTTATACAAGTAAGGGGAGCCAAGAGTAGTGGAGATGGTTAGAAAGGTGGCAGTACAGAAGTCTGATGCTATCCTAAAAAACAGAAGGAGAGCATCTTTCCTAGGAAATAGATAAAAGTTCTTTTTTTTTTTTCCCCCAAGATGGAGTCTCACTCTATACCCCAGGCTGGAGTGGCACCATCTCAGCTTACTGTAGCCTCTACATCCTGGGTTCCAGCAATCTCCTGCCTCAGCCTCCCAAGTAGCTGGGATTACAGGTGCGCATCACCACGCCTGGATAATTTTTGTATTTTTAGTAAAGACGAGGTTTCACCATGTTGGCCAGTGATCTCCAACTCCTGACCTCAAGTGATCTGCCCGCCTCAGCCTTCCAAAGTGCTGGGATTACAGGCATGAGCTACTGCACCTGGCGGATACAAGCTCTTTAAATGAATTCCCTCACCATCGACCTGGAGGAGGGACAGGACTAAGGGTTGAAAAATCTAAAATGCCAAAGGAGCTCCCCATTCAAGCTTACTTCTGTCCATTTTGGTCATTGGCCTGGCCTTGCCAAAGCAACCACTCCCACGTCTTGGCATCTTTCAGAGAGAGCCACAAACATGGATGAGAAGAGCTTCTTGTCACCTAATCTACCTACGCTGGGGCAGAACACTGCCAAATGTGGCACCTACCGCCCCAATCACCCCCACCTCCACCTCGCCACAACACACAGTGTTCTCTCTCTATAGAAACTCAGACTGCTGCAACCATGACTGCCCCCAAACTGATGTTAAGAAGTACAAGGGGAGGCCGGGCGCAGTGGCTCACGCCTGTAATTCCAGCACTTTAGGAGGCCGAGGCGGGTGGATCACCTGAGATCGGGAGTTCGAGACCAGCCTGACCAACATGGAGAAACCCTGTCTCTACTAAAAACACAAAAAATTAGCCAGGTATGTTGGCGGTCACCTGTAATCCCAGCTACTCAGGAGGCTGAGGCAGGAGAATAGCTTGAACCCAGGAGGCAGACGCTGCGGTGAGCTAATCATGCCATTGCACTCCAGCCTGGACAACAACAGTGAAACTCCGTCTCAGAAAAAAGAAGTACAAGGGGAGCCAGACTCTGGTTCATGCCAGTAATCCCAGCGGGCGGATCGAGGTTGAGCTCAGGAGTTCAAGATCAGCCTGGACAACATGGTGAAACCCCATCTCTACTAAAAAATACAAAAATTAGCCGGGTGTGGTGGTGCATGCCTGTGGTCTCAGCTACTCGGGAGACTGAGGCACAAGAATCGCTCGAACCTGGGAGGCAGAGGTTGCAGTGAGCCAAGATTGCCCCACTGCACTCTAGCTAGGGTGAAGGAGTGAGACTCTATATCAAAAGAAAAAAAAAAAAAATACGTTGAACTATGATGAGGCAGGCAGATCACTTGAGCTCAGGAGTTAGAGACCAGCCTGAGCAACATGGCGAAACCCTGTCTCTACAAAAAATACCAAACTTAGCTGGGCATGGTGACACATGCCTGTGGTCTCAGCTACTCAAGAAGCTGAGGTAATGGTCTGCCAAAAAGCACTCTGAACTGTGATGAGGTGGGAGGATTGCTTGAGCCCTGGAGGTCAAGGCTGCAGTGAGCCAAGATCACGCCACTGCACTCCAGCCTGGGCTACAGAACAAGACCCTGTCTCAAAAAAGACAGAAGAAAAAAAAAGTACAAGAGGGAGGTAGGAAGCAGGAAAGGAAGTAGGATAAAAGAAAATGAACATTCCAGGAGGGTGCCAATGGAAAAGCAAATTTCTGCTCTCAATTTCGAGTGCCAGCAGGTTTGCAGCTTCATTCCGGATTTTACTGCCTGCTGGGCCTGGGCATATTTGTCACAATTAAGGGCTCTGGCTGATGCTGACAGCCCAGTGCAGGGACACGCAAATGAAGCTCCTGACTCAGTAATAAAGATGTGGGGATAGGATCCTGCCCAGGGCTGAACAGAGTAGCAGAGGGCTACAGTCGACCCCTGCCTATGGGATACGGTGACTTACTTGGCTGGCGTCTGAACTGCCCTCTTCCAGAGCAGAAGCCTTCTTCTTTGGCTCCTTGGCTGCCTCTTCCCTCCTGGAACCCTCCTCTCCTGCATCTACTGTGTCCTCTGGTGCCTCCTTTTCAGAGGCTTCGGCAGGGTCATTGCCCCTAGGGTCTGCCTTGGGGGTCACCACATTCCTGGAAATCTTAGGTTCACTCTTCTCATTTTCCTCTTTTTCTGGGAGCCCAGGTGTTGCCCCACTTCCCTGTCGCCCTTTGCCATCAGCACTGCTCAGATTGCTGTCTGCACCTGGGCTGGACGGCTTGCAGGGAGTAGGGGGACTGGCAGCAGCTGAATCCAGAGAAACATCCTTCTCCTCTGGCTGGCTTGTTCTTAGAGACTCCTAGGGAGCAACAGACCATGTTCAAAAGGAAGACATAAGTAATGTGCAAAAGGAGTTGAGACATGCTGCAAGATGGAAATGCTATTCCCTGACTCCCACAGGCCAGTGCCTGAGTTCTGCCCCAGTGGTTATCAATCACGCAGTTCTTACATTTTTTTTTTTAATTTTTTTGAGATGAAGTCTCACTCTGTCACCCAGGCTGAGGTGCAGTGGTGCGATCTTGGCTAACTGCAACCTCTGCCTCCTGGGTTCAAGCAATTCTCGTCCCTCAGCCTCCCGAGTAGCTGGGACTACAGGTGTGTGCCATCACACCTGGCTATTTTTTTATATTTTTAGTAGAGACGGTGTTTTGTCATGTTGGCCACGTTGGTCTCAAACTCCTGGCCGCAAGCAATCCACACACCTCAGCCTCCCAAAGTGCTGGGATTATAGGCGTGAGCCACCGCACCCAGCCCACCCAGGTTTTTAAAACACAGATTCCTGACTCAACCCCAGATCTACAGAATCGGAATTTCTATAGTAATTTGGATATACCCAAGCTGATCCCCATCCACTGGTGGGCCTGGAAGTCACTACACTGGACGATACAACTCTGTCACCACCTATCATATCCTCAAGTAATAAATCTGTCTTGCTCCAGCCCCATTAGCCACATCATAAGACTGCAGACTCAAAAGCCAATATTTATTTAAGATGATGATGGATCATCATGTGAGAGAAAGGCAGCAAAGTCTCAAATTTCTATTTTTCCTGTTTAATAGGCAGCAGGGGAAAAATTATCAGGAGAGTGCTCTTCGTGCTAAAGCCTCCCGGGTACATGCTGATAAGCAGCAGCCTCGGAGACAGCATCCTCACCGAGCACTGCCGACTGGGGTCCTCTGAGAAGCAGATGCCAAGTTAGGGTTAGATGTGCAAGAGATTTAAGGGAGATGTCTACAAAGGATAAAGGAAGTGAGCAGAGCTCCAGACTTTCTCCAGTTCTGGGAAAGTCTTGGTCAGCCCAGCAGAGTCGCCTAGTAGGCTGCCATGAGAACAGTCCCGTATCTGCAGAAATGGCTCTGCTTTCAGACCCCTGTTGTGGCTCATCACCAGCAGGAAACACTCCCATGAAGCAGGGTGGATAGAAAGGGCAGTGCTGGAGGCTGTCAATCTGCTAAGCTCCCCTTGGCAGGGTCTCTCGACAGCAGATCTGAGCAGTGCATCTGTACAGTGGCCACGCCCTGCTCCTCACATACAAACCTCACTTTAAAAACTAGTAAAAACCCAAAGCTGCTTCCACTAAATTCCTTAGAGTCGGTCAAAAGAGAAAAAGAAAACCCTCCCTTGGAAATACAGCCAGTGATCTCTGCTGGGTTTGGGCTGAGAAGTCTTCCTCCTGGAAAACATCTGTGCTAACACTTGGGCTGCCAGACTGAATAACTTCCAATGAGGGATTTTTAAGACTTCCTGATTCCCTATTCTGAAGACTCAAGGATCATGATGACTAGAGAGTGGAGAGGTCCAAGAAGAAGCCCTAAGCACGGCATTTATTGATGCTCTGTTCAAGTGTCTGCTGTGCCCAAAGAAATGACCCTCTCCCTGCAAGCCTGATAGCCCACTGACAAGCTAACCCAGGCTTCCTAGGGATGATTACACACGTCAGTAAAGCAGAGTCCTTCAGAGCTCAGCTTTGGAGACAGAGGCTGCCCAGGCTCAAATTTTGGCTCCACACTTACAGATGTGTGACCTTAGGCAAATTATTTACTTCTATGTGCCTCAGTTTCTTTTGCTAAAATACCAGGATGTAGCAGTGCTTACCTCATAGGGAGCACCGTTGGGAAGAGTAAATGAGTCAGCACTCATCAAGTGAGTTAAGAAACTCAGAATTGTGACTGGCACACTGTCAGTGTCCCACGAATGTTAACTTACGTTATATAATGAGACTTACACATTCATTCACTGAGCACATTCTATGTGTCAAACACTGCCTTGGGAATCCAAATATGGCCAAACTATGGATCCTGCCCTCAAGGAACTGAGCTAATATTGAGAAAAGTGAAATGTTCCCAATGGCTTTGGTTATGAGCCTTGACTGCCCAAAGCAAAGAGGCCACTAGACACAGTGGTGATACTGTCATTAGGCCCAACCCTGTACCAGAAAGAAGAGCAGAAGGGGAAGTAGAGAAGGCACAAAGGAAGCTCACGCCTTGGCAGCATGCATGTGGGTACCCGCCAGTGCTGCCCCTCCCAGCATCCCTAACCTCCAGTATGGAATAAATCTGCCAGGACCACTGGGCTAAGAGAAGGAAGACACACTTCTCCTCTTCAAGTGAAGCAGCTTCAGGCTGAGCCTAATGGCCTTCTCATCTCTATACCACCAAAGGCCCATACTCAGCAGAAGCTCATATCCAGTCTGTGGGGTTCTAAGGCCTCCAAGAAGGAGGTGGGAGTTGCCTGGGGTGGGCAAAGGGTGTTAGGCCAACCACACCCCCTTACTCGGCAAGCAGGGCCAATCCACCCTGGCCAGGCTTATCCCAAGATTAAAGAAAGGCTCCCACTGGCTTGAAGTTGGGAGTGAAACCTGGTCCTAAGAGGGCTGCCTACCAATACACCTTAGACGCGAGGGCAAAGGAGGTATCAGACCATAAATAGTCCCTATGGCCTTCAGGATAAAATTTAAACTCCTACTTCGCCCACAGCCCTTAAGGCCCAGCTCCTGCCTACCTCTCACGGCTCACCTCCAGCCAAACCCTCAGACACTCTCTCCTCCCACCTGTGGATAAACGTCACAATAATTTAGTAATTTGCCATGCAATTCCTAAAACACACATACACACACTACCCTGACACACTCCCCACTGGTCCTCACCACATCACCTCTTCCAGGATGCCTTCCTTGATCCCTAGGTCAGCTGACCTGAGATGAGCCTTCCCCATCATCTACTTTAATAGCTATTGTATTTGCTGATTTCCTTATCTATTTGCCTCACCAAATTAGCTCCCTATTGTCCTCAGTACTTAGTTTCTAGCACATAATAAGTGCTTAGCAAAGGTTTGTTGACCAAATTGCTAAACATGAATAAGCGTATCATGCAAAGATAGGAGTTGACATTTCCCTTCCTAGCCTGCAAAAAGGAGATGTAATATTTACTTTACATGGTTATACAGGGATTAGACTATATTTATTACAGTGCTAATTAAATGAAAAATAGCTAAGCAAATGTTAGCTATTAATTAACCATTCAAGATGACGGAAAAACAAGTAACCTATCAAAAATCAGAGAATACAAGACACAGGTAGAGATTCCCATCCTTGAGAGGATCAGGAAGAATAACTAACGGGTACTAGGCTTAATGCCTGGGGGATGAAATAATCTGTGCAACAAACCCCCATGACACAAGTTTACCTAGATAGCAAACCTGCCCGTGCACCCATGAACTTAATATAAAAATTAAAAAGAGAGAGATTCCCATTCTTACACATGAGAGAATATAGCCAAATTGCAATAATCTTAGGCCCAGCTCAATTTGTATGCTTAAATTCTTCACAAGAAAATTTTCACATGATGGGGCTCATTCTAGTCCGCCTTACCTAAAACAGTAAAACACAGGTAATATTAAAATAAACGACCTTGCATTCTCTGCACCATGTTGACTAACTGCAACCGCAGGACAGCACCTCGAGGGTGGGGAAAGCAGAGGGAGGTGAAGCATTTGTTGTAGATTATCCACAAATGGATGTACATGAGCTGAGTGTCTGGAGAAGCTATCCAACTCCATGAGCATCTCCCTTCACCTGGCCCCTGCCCCTTGTCTCCTGGCCCAAGGCCTGAAGCTCCAACCAGGTATACACTCTGGGCACCGAAATCCAGTCTCCTGCCCTGGCTCTGTGGGAAGTGCAGGAAAACGGGGGGCCTCAGTCTCAGCACAACTTTGCCCTCAGCTCATCCCTGCTCACACTCCTTCTGTCTCCTCCTTTCACAGCTCCAGGTCCTTGAGTATTTCAAGGCACATTTCTGCTGCTTTTTCAAAAAAGACCTTCCCATCTGCAGGAGGAGAGAGCAGGAAAGAGCTTAAAAGAATCATTTCATGAATATTTAACATATCCCCCAAAAGCCCTGAGGTTCTTCTGCCCAGAGCACAAAGACAAGGACCCCTATAATCCACACAGCACAGGGGACAGGGCAGGAAGGCCAAGGAACCGAACCCATGTCTGTGCATTGACCCTGTTCTGCAGAGACCCCCACCAAGCTGATCATCAGTCCAATTTATTTTTCAGATTTCATTCCTGCCCAGTTGGTCTCAATTCTTTGCACAGCTCCCCGGTGTTGTTAGCACTTTCCAATCGCACTGACATCATCCTGTTATTTCTAAGCCCAGGCTCCCTCCTGCTACTTTGATCCACTGATGGGCTTTTCACCAGCACCACATGGCCACATAAAGTCTGCTCGACTACCCTTCAGCCTCCTGGCTTTTGCTCGCCCTGTTCAGTGTCAGTTCCATGAACCTCTCTCTCTTCAGCCTGTAATAGACTTGAAGTGGGTTTAAGTTGGAAAGCAAGAGAGCAGGGAGGAGACAAGAAGAGATGCATTCTTGCCATCCTACTGCCCTCTCATGGAATCATGAGCAAAGTGACTGCTCAGTGAGACAGGATAGAACTAGCCTCAGAAGTCCATCTCCATCCTAGGCTGTATGGGACACTCAGGAGTGGGGAAAGGTAGGCAGTTCACAGAATCCAAAGACTGTAAACTGAGACAAAAGCCATTTTCAAAGAGCAGGGCCCAAGCAGAGGCAGCATTGGCTGTCCTGAAACCCCCCCATTCACCCTCACCACTAACACTCCCAACAGGAAAAGTCCTGATTCCTGCCTTCAGTTAGAACATAGGAATCCAACACTCCATGTGACAAAAAGAACTAAATCTGCGGGGATGCTAAAGACAGGGGTAGGAGGTGTATTTAACACCACCCACTCCAGACATTTCCCCTCATCACACTGGGGTGCCTATTTATATTAAAGAGGTTATAAAATGTTTAAAAGTCCCCACTCTCCCCAGAGAAGTACATAGTCATCAGAAGGAAAGCTTTTAGAAATCCACCTTTCAGGTCGGGCACGGTGGCTCATGCCTGTAATCCCAGCACTTTGGGAAGCCATGGCGGGCAGATCACCTGAGGTCAGGAGTTTGAGACCGGCCTGGCCAACATGGTGAAACCCCGTCTCTTCTAAAAATACAAAAATTAGCCAGGCATGGTGGCGGGTGCCTGTAATCCCAGCTACTCGGGAGGCTGAGGCAGGAGAATCGCTTGAGCCCGGGAGGCGGAGGCTGCAGTGAGCCAAGATCGCGCCATTGCACTCCAGCCTGGGGGACAAGAGCGAGACTTCAACTCAAAAAAAAAAAAAAAAAATTCCGCCTTTCAAAGAAGAAAAAGCCTTTTTTGTTGACATTTACAATCCATTATGAAGTAAATGTTAACAAGCCCAAGGTCAAAGTAAATCATAATCAATCCACATCAGGATCTTCAATCCGCCAGCTGACAGCAGGGACCAAGTACCCACTCTATCCGGTAACTGGGAAAGCCAAGTGAAGAAAAAAATACGACACAACCTGCCCGGACACTCTCTCATAAGTCCCAGCGTGGCTCATTCACTCATTCACAAATTCATTCTCTCAACTGTTGACCAAAACATACCTAAGCACTTCCTATGTTTCAGAGGCAGTGGGCTAGGTGCTGCCTGGCCATACAGAAATGAATAGGGCAGAATCCCCAACCTCAACTTGCTCATTCTCATAGAGATTGTCTTCTTCCTCCACAAGCAAATAAGTCCTCTGACACCCCTGGTCCTATACATGGTCAACCTTCTAGGCACAAAGCCTGAGCATCTCCTTTGATCAATAGAGGTCTTACTGGTGGTGGAGAAGAAAATAAAGTTGTCATTTCAGGGAACTAAACAGATTGAAGGCTTTAGATTTAATCCTTCCAGACTAGGCCCCACTCAGAAGGAACAGTTTCAAAGCAGACCTGTATCAGCTTGATAATAAAAACCGGACACTTAGAAAAAAGTGTCACATTTGGCAAGAAACTGTAAAGTCATAATCGAAAGGTATCTGACTGTGCAGAGCCAAAATGCTGAACAGTTTCTGAGGTAACAGGCAAAGTCTAACTACAAAAAGAGTCCTAGGCTGGGCACAGTGGCTTACACTCGTAATCCCAGCACTTTGGGAGCCCAAGACAGGTGGATCACTTAAGCCCAGGAGTTGGAGACCAGTCTGGGAAACATAGCAAAACCCCATCTCTACAAAAAATAGCCAGGTGTGGTGGCGGGCACCTGTGGTCCCAACTACTTGGGAGGCTGATATGCACTCCAGCCTGGGCAACAGAGTGATATCCAGTCTTAAAAGAAAAAGCCCTGTCCAATGGCTAGACTTGGGTCACCCACAACTCAGGTCTCAAGTACCAAATCAAGGGCTATCAGCCAGCACATCTGAAACCTCAAGTGACCTGAGACACTAATCCTGGCTCTTAAGGTAAGGTGATTTCCAAGAAACAAGTCAGAAATAATAAGGGATAATGAGAAAACAAATTTAAATTCAGGATATAAGCACTTCTGTTTTACTGGCCAGTTTTGTGATCATTGTAATAAAGTGTGAGTGACTTGTTTGATGTTAAAGTATTGAAAGTATTTAAAAGAACTTGATATATTAGACTTGTGAAAAGTTTAACTGATTGAGCCTGCAACCAATATTTAAATATTGGGGGAAATCTAATTGTTGAGTTCATGATTCATTGGTTGTTTAAATACTTTAAGAATATTTAGAGAAATATGGCCGGGTGCGGTGGCTCACGTCTGTAATCCCAAAACTTTGGGAGGCCAAGGCGGGCAGATCACGAGGTCAGGAGATCCAGACCATCCTGGCTAACATGGTGAAACCCCATCTCTACCAAGAATACAAAAAATTAGCCAGGCGTGGTGGCGGGCGCTTGTAGTCCCAGCTGCTTGGGAGGTTGAGGCAGGAGAATGGCGTGGACACGGGAAGCGGAGCTTGCAGTGAGCTGAGATCACGCCACTGCACTCCAGCCTGGGTGACAGAGCAAGACTCCGTCTCAAAAAAAAAAAAAAAGAAAGAAATATTTTGAGAAATGTTATATTTAAATGACTACATTGGACACTAAACAAAGGATACATGGTAGGGAAAGCTCCTTTCTAGGTACAAAAACACATGGCTGGGCACAATGGCTCACACCTGTAATTCTAGCACTTTGGGAGACCAGGACGGAAGGACTGCTTGAGGTCAGGAGTTTGAGACCAGTCTGGTCAACAGAGAGACCTCGTCTCTGCAAAAAAGGTAAAAAGTAGCCAGGCATGGGTGCACATGCCTGTAGTCCTAACTACTCAGGAGGCTGAGGTGGAGGATCACTTGAACCCAGGAATTCAAAGCAGTGAGCTCTGTTCACACCACTGTAACTCCAGGCTAGGCAACACAGTGAAGCCCTGTCTCTTAAAAAAAAAAAAAAAAACAAAAAACTACTGGAGGTTTTAGGTATTACAATAACATAATGAGTGTTGACATTTGTTTGTTTAGAGGCAGGGTCTGGAAGGGACAGGAATCCATTCATTTATTCTTGTCCTCCTCCAAACCCCAGAAATCCCATCTGGAAGGACTGGGACAAACGGTTGTTTTTCCAAATATGCATTACAACAAAGCAGGGGGGCTTAATAAAAACAGGAGAGATATGCCAGGCTGACACATTTGCCTGTAGGGATTAGGGCTCTTAACTCATACTCAAAGTCACCCCCCAGTGCCCCAATGTCCAGGTATAGGTTCTTAAGAGGCTCACTTGAGCTGTGGACACTCTAGAAACAAAAATGATGACAAGTGTAAGTCTGAGGAAACTGGTCAACCCAGGGTGAGGGGTGTGCAGAAGGAAAAGCAGGGCACTGCTGAGCTGGCAGGCAGGCCCAGGCAGGGCTTCAGAGGACTCAGGGCAGGACCACCACTGAGGCAGCCTCACTAAATGGCTCTCCATCCAGCACAAACTATGCTGTGCACCAAGCAAGTGGCCAAGGTGCTTTCTGCTGGCTGTATTTTCTGGATCAGATCTAGAAGGTATAATAGACTGCTCAAGAAATGAAGCTGGGGGCCAAAAAAAAATCTTGCTTTTTTAAAAAGAAGCACAGAGATCAGCCAAAGGTAGAAACAACCCATATATATTCATCAACAGATGAATAGATAAACAAAAGGTGGCATATCCATACCATGGAATATTACTCAGCCTTAAAAAGGACCAAAGTTCTAATACATGCTACAACATAGATGAACCTTGAAACATTATGCTAAGTGAAATAAGGCCGACACAAAAGGACAAATATTGTATAATTCCTCTTACATGAGGTCCTAGAATAGGTAAATTCATAGACATAGAAAGCAGATTAGGTTTTAAAGGACGGAGGGAGAGGGAATAGGAAGTTATCATTCAATAGGTACAAGTTTCTATTTGGGATGATGAACAAGTTCTAGAAATGAACAGTGGGGGGTGGAGTGCAGAAAAAAAAAAGAAATGGATAGTGGTGTTGGGTGCACACATTGTGAAGGTAATTAATACCACTGAATTTTAACTTTAAAATGGTTAAAAGGGCAAATTTTATGTTACATATTTTTTCTATTACAGCAAAAACATTTTCAAAAGGAAAAAATATAGCACGGAGGGCTTCCAGGCCAGGGAGAGGACTTCATCATTACCTGGTTGTCACTTTCCTCCTCATCCTCCTCATTAGTTTCTTCTCCTAAAGCCAAGAGGCTGAGAGCAGTCTTGTCCTCATGTATGGAGCCCAGGAGACCCTTTGTATAAGCAGAGGTCTTGAGACCCTGTGAAGGCTTCAAAATAGAGAAGGACAGTCAAAGGACTCACTTGGAAGACCTTTGGAATGACCTTTAGAATGCTCCTCCCCACTATCTATGTCAGTGTCTCCCAGATCAAGTCCCACCATGTCCATGAAGCTGACCTGGCGACTGCAGCTCACACCAATGACTCCCTTCACCCACTCCTACTGCCTTGACTGCGGAGACTCAGAAATCAGCACTGATGTCCCTACAGCATGCGTCTATCCTCCACAGCCCAGAGTCCACATTCATACAGGTGCGAATTACATTTTCCCAACTGGATTACGAACTCTGAGGACTCCACCGATTCCGTCTATTTCTCACCCCTAGGCCATAGTTCCTAGTATGCCACATGGGGGCCCCACAGGAACTACAGACACTGAACACAAGAGAAAGTACTTACCAGCATGAGTTCTCCAAGCTGACGTACAGACTCCACTGAGCTCCCCAGGCTCACGCTTTGAGATCCACGAAGGGCAGAGGGTGGGGTATCCACAAGGCCTCGTAAAGGAGCCAGGCCCCCAAGAGGAACATGAACTGGGGCTAATGAGGAACCCAGGGCCTGGGCACCAGAAAACATCTTGTTACAACCCAAGAAACCATGTGGCTCTGAAAGTGTCGGAGACAGATACAAAAATAAAACATCTAAATCCTGCACGCTCAAATTTAAACCACCTCCGCTCAGAGGCTGCTAATGAAACACAACATCCAGAAATTACCATTGTGCCAACTGTGTGAGAAATCACAGGCTGCTTTCCTGATTTTCATAAGTCTCATGCTGTCTCACAGTAAACAGTTCTTTTACATCTGGCAGATGCCGCATGGGGTTCTGCTCTCCTTTCAGAAGCCGCATAGGAGGCCGGGCGCGGTGGTTCATGCCTGTAATCCCGGCACTTTGGGAGGCCAAGCCAGGTGGATCACAAGGTCAGGAGTTTGAGACCAGCCTAGCCAGCATGGTGAAACCCTATCTCTACTAAAAAATACAAAAATTAGCCAGGTGTGGTGGCATGCGCTTACAGTCCCAGCTACTCGGGAGGCTGAAGCAGGAGAATCACTTGAAACCAGGAGGCAGAGGTTGCAGTGAGCCAAGATCACACCACTGCACTCCAACCTGGTGACAGAGCAGCAAGACCCTGTCTCAAAAAAAAAAAAAAAGGCCAGGAGCAGTGGCTCACACCTGTAATTCCAGCACTTTGGGAGGCCGAGATGGTCGGATCACCTGAGGTCAGGAGTTCTAGACCAGCCTGGCCAACATGGTGAAACCCTGTCTCTACTAAAAATATAAAAATTAGCTGGGCATGGTGGTGCATGCCTGTAATCCCAGCTACTCAGGAGGCTGAGGCAAGAGAATCACTTGAACCTGGGAGGTGGAGGTTGGAGTGACCCGAGATCACACCACTGCACTCCAGCCTGGGCGACAAAACAAGGCTCTGTCTCAAAAAAATAATAATAAATAATAAAATTTTTAAAAAGCCATATAAGAAGGATGCGGGAGGGGAAAGCAGAGACAAATCCTCATCTAGCAGAAGAATTCTCAATTGATAAAGTTTAAAATTGATGAGTCAAGAAAAAGCAGTCTAAGTGTGTTATTTACAAAGATGGACGTAAACACCACAACAGAACGGTTGCCTTTGAGGAGGGCTCTGCACAGTGAAGTGCTAGACTTTCTTATATGCTTTTTAGTACTACTTGACTTTTTAAACTACGGACATGCACTACTCTGATTAAAATCTAAGGCCAAGGCACAGTGGCTCACATCTGTAATCCCAGCACTTTGGGAGCCCAAGGTGGAAAGATCACTTAAGGCCAGGAGTTCAAGACCAGCCTGGGCAACACAACAAGACCCCATTTCTACAAAAATATTTTAAAGATTAGCCAGATGGGGTAGCATGCACCTGTAGTCCCAGCTACTCAGGAGGCTGAGGAGGAAGGACTGCTTGAGCCCAGGAGCTGGAGGCTACAGTGAGCTATGATGGCACCACTGTACTCCAGTCTGGGCAATAGAACAAGACCCTATCTCAGACCAGCCTAGGCAACACAGTGAGACCCTGTCTCTACAAAAAAATTTAAAAATTAGTGGGACATAGTGACACATGCCTGTGGTCCTAGCTACCTGGGAGGTTGAGGCGGCAAGATCAATTAAGCCCAGGAGTTCAAGGTTACAGTGAGATATAACCACTGCACTCCAGCCTGGGAGACAGAGCAAGACCCTGCCTCTAAAAAATAAAAATGACCCTGTCTGGAAAAAAAATCAACACTAACTACAAAAAAAATACACATGAGCAACAAAAGGAGGACTCTCTCCCCTTTCCACTGATGAGGAAGGTGGCTGAAAGGAGCCTTGCCGGGCTGACCAGGTCCCTTCTTTTCCCTGTTCTCCTTCCTGCAAGCAAGGGCTGGGGAAAGAAATCAGGCTACGAGTCAGAATTCGTGAGACCTCCCGCTATTCACAGACTCTCCGATTCTCAGTTTACTCATCTGCAAGATGGAGATGATGTGTGCCTTGCCACCTGACTAGGTGTGCAGAGAAGCTCAAGGAGATGAGTGCTAGGGGCCTTTGTGAGTGGCCCAGGGCTACACCAACATTATAAAATTGCCACCATCACAGGGATTCACATTACAATAATCTAGACTTATCAGAAGCAAAGATGGCAATCTGGTGACAATTTACAAAGACCCCTTCAAAATTCATTTCTCAAACCTAAAATGTCTCAGATGACACAAAAATTCCAATCCTCCCTAACCCCACAAGGACTGAGGAGAGAAAAGGAAACCCAGAGGCAGCCAGGCTGAGGTTCCAAAGATCCATCTTCTCACCTGTAGCCTAAGCCTAGGGGCCAGACCAGTGGGTGGGTTCCCAGGAGGGCCCATTTCTGCATCAGATGCTTATCAGGAAAGTAAGGTGAGAACCACTCCTGAGCTTCTGCAGGTCCACAATCATCTGGACTGTTGTAGAACATCTTTGTGAAGGAGAAAACGAGCTGATAACCGTAACACTGGCCAGCAGTGCACTGGCTAAACACCTTCCATGCAATGTCTCATTTTACCCTCACAACCACCTGAGACTGGCTCTGCCATTATCCACAGTCCCCATATGAACAAATGGAGGTTGGTGAGGTCAAGAACCCTGCCCAGGCTGGGCGTGGTGGCTCACACCTATAATCCCAGCACTTTGGGAGGCTGAGGTGGGCAGATTACCTAAGGTCAGGAGTTCAAGACCAGCCTGGCCAATATGGTGAAACCCTGTCTCTACTAAAAAAAAATTTAAAAATTAGCCGGGTGTGGTGGCAGGTGCCTGTAATCCTAGCTACTGAGGGAGGCTGAGGCAGAAGAATCACTTGAACCCGGGAGACAGAGGTTGCAGTGAGGTGAGATCATGCCACTGCACTCCAGCCTGGGTTACAGAATGAGGCCCTGTCTCAAAAAAAAAAAAAAAAAAAGAACCCTGCCCAAAGTTACAGAGCCAGTGAGGGGCAGAGATGGGATTAGAACCCAAGGCTATCTCTAAGACAGTACTTTATACCAGCTCTGGCTGTGGAAGAAAAAAAAGCCTAGGACATACATGGTCCCTGACACCTCTAACCCCAGTACTTTCGGAAGCCAAGGCAGGAGGATCACTTTAGGCCAGAAGTTCAAGACCGGCCTGGCCAACATAGTAAGACCCCATGTCTACAAAAACTAATTTTTTTTTTTTTTTTTTTTTGAGACGGAGTCTCGCTTTGTCGCCCAGGCTGGAGTGCAGTGGTGCGATCTTGGCTCACTGCAAGCTCCGCCTCCCGGGTTCACACCATTCTCCTGCCTCAGCCTCCAAGTAGCTGGGACTACAGGCGCCCGCCACCTCGCCCGGCTAATTTTTTGTATTTTTAGTAGAGACGGGGTTTCACCGTGTTAGCCAGGATGGTCTCGATCTCCCGACCTCGTGATCCGCCCGCCTCAGCCTCCCAAAGTGCTGGGATTACAGGCGTGAGCCACTGTGCCTGGCCTCAAAAACTAATTTTTAATTAGCTGGGTATGGTGGTACACACCTGTAGTCCCAGCTACTTGGGAGGATTGCTTAAGCCCAGGAGCTCAAGGCTGCAGTGAGCTACCATCACACCACTGAACTCCAGCATGAAGGACAGAACAAAACTCTGGTCTCTTAAAAAAAAAAAAAAAAAAAAAAGGGTGGGGGGCTGGGGGAAAGAGCCCAGGAAAGCTTCTTCAAGGTAAATTGGGCAAACCAGGCATGCTCCTCCTGGTTTCAGCCCTTCCAACCATCCCATGTATCAGCAAGCAAAATTATCCCCACACTGTATTTATGGAAAATTACAGACTCCTAACGTGGCTAATTTGCTAACGTGCTGGGGGCTTGAGGGAGGGAGACAAGCATGCTGAGGGCTTCGTTCTCCCAGGCCTTGACCAAATCAGCAGTTAGCGGGGAAATTATACATTCCTGGCTCCTAGCTGATCATCTTCTATAGACGGCCATTAACTCTGAGTATGCGGCTATGCATGGAGTTGTCCTTCAGAGCAGATAAACTTACTGCCATTGGGCTAATTAAAACTTTCAGGATAATCTGCAGCTTATCCGATATTTATAGTGCTTCAGTAGTTATTAAAGCTAACAGAGAACCAATGCAAGCCAGCAATTAGGAAGCTGAGCAAACAACTGGGTAAAGCCACAGCTGGGCAACAGCAAAAGAATAGCTGGAGAAATTCAGATTGATCCCCATGGTCTCTGATCCAACTTGACTTCTGAATGAAGAATATGGTGAGTCTTTAAAGGGACAAAGGGAGAATGATAGGGCAAGGTCAGCCATTTGATAAATCCCAGTAGGGGAGGAAGTGAACTCAAGAGTGAAGTCACAAATATGGTCTACACAAGCCTGACACAGGTTATCCATGTGGTTTTCTGGGGACGCTAGGAGGCAAAGAGCAGAAGCAGCTCACTGGATGGCAGACAGAGGTTCTGGCCTCCGTCTCTCATGAATATTAGCTCTCAGGCCAGGCATGGCAGTTCACACCTGTAATCCCAGGACTTTGGGAGACCGAAGCAGGCAGATCACTTGAGGTCAGGAGTTTGAGACCAGCCTGGCTAACATGGCAAAACTCTGTCTCTACTAAAAATACAAAAATTAGCCAGGTGTGTTCGCACACGCCTGTAGTCCCAGCTACTCAGGAGGCTGAAGCATAAGAATAGCTTGAACCCGGGAAGTGGAGTTTCAATGACCTGAGATGACACCACTGCACTCCAGTCTGGGCGACAAAGCAAGACTGTCTCAAAAAAATAAAAAAATTTTAAAAAAAGAATATTAACTCTCTAATCAGGTGTAGTGGCTCATGTCTATAATCCCAGCACTTGGGGAGGCCAAGGCGGGTGGATTGCTTAAGACCAGGAGTTCGAGACCAGCCTGGCCAACATAGCAAAACTACATTTCTACTAAAAACACAAAAAAATTGGCTGGTGAGCACCTGTAATCCCAGCTATTCGAGAGGCTGAGGCACGAAAATCGCTTGAGCCTGGGATTCAAGCGATGGAGGTGCAAACTGCAGTGAGCCAAGATCCACTGCACTCCAGCCTGG